GTACTGATCTAGAAGTGAGTGAAATACGCGTTGTTCACGTAGAAGAATTTGAAGCCCTTGTCATTGCCCGTTAGTGTAATAGGAAACTGGTGGAAAATATACCAGAGAGAAGGTGAGTACAGACGGCTGAAATCTTGCGAGCCTTGTGAATTAGCGCGAAGTTCCAAAGATCGGGCATGCTGGATCGAGCCCTGTACGAAGCTGAAAACTCGGCATATTTTTCAACACATGTGATCGCATTCGCTTCCTGGCAGAAAAAAAGTTGATAAAACGAAAGTCAACTACTGCAAATACTACCAAAAATCAAATATTGATTACTACCGATCAATATTCGATTTTTGGTAATTTACCATTGCTCACCAAAAAGTAAGTGCTTCGAGTTTGCTATTCAAATTCTCTACTTTCAGCCAACGCCGTCGTCGTTCCCTTGCCAATCTAACGACTGTCGATGGATGTGCGTTTCGATTCCCAACGCCGAAGGCGATCTTCAGGCTAAGTGTCTTTGTCCTGACGGCTACCTCACACTGCCTGATGGCGATTGTGGCCCCATACGCGACTCAGTTGTTCAAGACGACCAAAGTAAGACGGATAGCGAGGAAAGCAAAACCGTACTCCTAGTGAGTGAAGCAATTCAGGGCGTGGGTGGGTTCTGGATAAACTCAGAGCTTTTGCAGGACATTTCTCACGTCGGTGTGGCGTGGATGAAAGAACGTTGCGAAGCTGGCAGTGGCTGCCTGAACGGTGGCGAGTGCCAAGACGTGAAGAACGAGCACGGTCGTGTAACCAAGATTGTTTGCAAGTGAGCCCGTTCCATAGTTCTCCTTCCACCTTCATACTCTTACATAGTATAGTATACATAGTATATTACATATACATATTCCGTTCAGCTGCGTCTCTCCGTATGAGGGCGATCGATGTGAGCGGACAAATCCCTTCAGTGAGTACGCCAACCAGCTCCCGCCATCCTCTCGACCGTTATGGTTCACGTTATTATTTACGGCTATTTTTGTCCTGTTCATCGTTGCTGCGTTCCTGCTATCCTATCGTTATCTCGAAGCAAATCAGGTACTCGTGGTAGGGCTGTGGTGTAGTTCGGAGAGGAGGATTATCTTGGTGTAGAAAACCCAAGGCATCTGAAACCGGACAAACATTTTCTTTTGATTTAAACCTTGAAAATGTAAAGCTCACCCAATTTCCTTCTGCACGAGCGAACTGGTTCACCCATTCTCGAGCTTGTAAAACATAGGACTACTCTCTAAGCAACAACCCCAGACGAGGTCATGTCGAACAGCCTTTCGTGGGTGGAATAGAGTAGCACGGGAGATTCACAGTTGCGCCGTTGTTGCGGCTCAAAGGTGTGCTGAGCTGTTGACGGCTAATGTGAGCTAATGGATGAGATACCTCGCGCACACCCCATGATACGCAACGTTGATTATGACGTAGCGGCCTAACAAATCGTCCCACACGCCTCTCCCTCATTTCAAGGGGAAGCAGAGAAAATCCTTGTTCAATCATTTTTAGTCAACTCTGCACCCATAATTTTATTATTGACCGCTGTTACCCCAGCGACTTGATCTGAGGTTGTTGCTTTAGCAGTACCATTGCACCAAGATCCCCTCTTGAATACACCAGCGCCCTCAGCAGTTTGGTTGTGGACAATCTGACTTTGGCTTGGAGCTTGCACGGTTTCAATTCAATCACATTCAGCAAAGCATCGAAAACTGTAAGGGGTCTGGTGGAACGACGAGTTCGACAAATTCCCTCCACTCTTCCGCAGATCCATCCATTCATCCATTCTATGAAGGATAGGTTCTCTACGTTCACTACGACTTTAGCGGGTGCCAGGTGCGTTTTTATGTGAATCCATCTTGCGCCAATCTAATGTTGAAGCTCATTCATACAGGAACCTTCCCAGAAAGGGTTCGGGTGTTCTGCGCAAGGAGTTCAGCAATCCTCTGTTCAATGACGACAGGTCATCAACAGGTTCATCGGCAGAAGAGCAGCCTGCGAATGAGGTAAGGCACAAAAGTGATCGTTTTTTCTAATAGTAGGCAACTTGGCGCTAACGCCGTGTTGTTTCAGCTAGCATACAGTAATCCGCTTTTCACGGAAGAAAACACACACGCAGCACCATTCTCTGGAATCCAA